TTCAGATGATTGACACGTGACTTGTTGGTTCGTTCCTTCAGATGATTGACACTTGACTTCTTCAGTCATTTGTGTAAAATATTCCTCGGACGTTATAAAAAGTAAAAAGTAGAATTAGATTTTTGTTCTTTCTTGGATGCGTGGAGCATGTCCAGACTCTGGTTGAAACATCTGCAAACATCAAGCATTCATCTGGCTCCCAGTGGAAACAACTGGTTTGTGTTTCTGCAGTCTCTGGGAAGACGGGCCAGCGCCGGCGGAGGAACAGCGTGGACCGCTCCATGCTCGATGTCGTGACAAACTTCGCCGTCTACCGCTGCTTCTTCCCCAAATGCATCCCTCCACCTCCGGCGACCCTGGCTCCGATCCCGAGCCGCCGACCCGACAACTTCGTGTGCGTTCAGACGCTTCTCGACCTTCGTCTGACCCGACAGCATCGTCTGGGATTAACGTGTGCGTGTTTCTCCCCAGTCTGTGGTCCGACGCTTCGTTCTGGAGAAGTTCTGCTGAGAACAACTTCAGCGTTCCAGCTGATGGCGCCAACGTCATTATCCCGTCAGGTAACAAACTCTGCAGGGTTCATTCCCTTATTTATAATCTGAGATTACCAATAATCTGATGTTTTATCTCCCAGTTCTGAGCTGTGGGTTGATCAGATCTAAGTGTTAAAAATAAAAATCCAAAGATCTTTGGAGAAAATTTGTTGTTTTGTTTCAGTCTCTGGACTTTTGTTGTCAATCTAAAGATGCGTAAATAATCTGCTGTTGTGATTAAACTCGACATAAATAATCTGCTGTTGTGATTAACCTCGACATAAATAATCTGCTGTTGTGATTAACCTCCATGTTTGCACCGAACCTCAGGCAGGTGGGTCGTTCTGGACCGGGACACACCGGCCCTCAACAAGCTGATGGTGGTCGGAGTCCTGGAGATTCCTGATTCCCTGAACGCCTCGTCCACGCCCGAGTACCGCTCAGTGGTGCTCGATGCAGTTTACGTCTCCATCCAGGTCAGCGCCATGGCCCAGATTATCTCCTCTAATCTGGTTTTAATCCTATCTTGGTCAAATGTTTGTCTTCAGAGGACAGGTCTGTGCAAAAGTCCTGATCCAGTCCTCATTTCAAGGACCCGGACTTCATTAGTCGGTTAAACTGGTCTGGATCTGTGGTGCTCCAGACTTCCTGGAGGTTTTCTAGTTTTTCTTTCCAAGTTCCTTAAAAGTCTTGAAGCGTGTCAGGTGTGAAGTCGGTTCTGGTTCTGTTCCAGGGAGGCCGGCTGATCGCAGGATGGAGCGACGAGCCGTTCAGAGGTCAGCTGGTCATCAAGCTGAGGGGGAACCACAACACCCCGGACTGGCTGCTGCCCAACGGACCCAACCAGGGCTGCAAAGTCCTGGGTAAGACCCCAGACCAGGACTTTACCACCGTCATGTGGTGAAAACAGGAAACTGAATTGAACCGGACGTTAATGACCCTGAAAGGACCTCAGTCAGGAACGAGCTGTTTCATTTATTTCTGTTTTTAAGAGTGGTGTGTGCTGCAGCTCAGACTCAGAGTTTAAAGAGAGATTTACAGCAGAAACATTGTTTTTGTGCATTTCATCCCAAATAAGGAAACAGAATAGATTTAATTCAGTAAAGGACAAATAAATGGAAACAAAGTTCAGTCAGGTCCTCTGGACGGGTTCTTTTTTTGTTGAGACGTTTCATCCAGAGGACCTGACTGAACTTTGTTGGATCTTTGAGATGAAGAAAGAGGTAGAGGAAGAGTTTTCTGAACAGCAACAGCCGAAGCTGCTTATCTTTGTTGTGATTTGACTCTCGACAGGTTCAGTTTGTTGTTACTCAGACAAACATCCTGACGTTCTCAGAGGGATTTAATCTGATTATTAAAATCAGAGCCAAGAAACAAAATGAACCTGAGTCTGATTCCTCTGAACGTTTCTTCTTTTTCAAACACGTTTAAAAACCTTTCCGTGTCCTAACCATCGTTTATGACTGTTTTGATGTCCTGCTGCTCCGAGCGTCTCATTCGGCGTGAAGCGCTCGGCGCCGTGCTTCAGTCCAGGTGTGCTCGTCCCGCAGGTGTGTTTGGCGCTCTGGAGCTGTTCGGACGGCCTCGCAGCGTTTACCACACCAAACTGGCTGCCACCGCCGCCGCCGGAGCCACCAGCCTGACTCTGAGGCAGCCCGTCGACTGGCAGGTTTGTGTTCGTCGTTGACCTTTAAAAGCCGAGAAGGTCGGAGCGTCTCACTCCGCTGCGTCCCGTCTGTGTTCAGGTGGGAGACGAGGTCGTCGTCTCCACCAGCAGCTACCAAGCTGCAGAGACAGAAAAACACGTGATCGCTGCTGTGTCGTCCGACGGCCGCGTGCTGACCCTGAACCAGCCTTTGGCCCACACGCACATCGGTCAGTTTCAAGACACAAAACTTGACCTTCAAACTTTTTACTGACCAGTAAGCATCTTACCTGTAGCGCTGCGAGTGTGCTCAACAGAACCATCAGCTGACTGAGTCTGAAGATGTTAGTCGTGACAAAACGAACCCCAGAAGGAGCTCAGAGGCTCTACAGGAAGTCGTTCAGGTTTCTCCTCGCTCACTTGGTGTTTCCTGCCCCCAGGTGAGGCTCATTCTGTGTCAGGTACGGCGTTCTCCTACGTCCTGGCAGCTGACGTTGGCCTCCTGACCAGAAACATAAAGATCGTCGGTCAGGAGTATCCAGACATGATGGCCGAGTCGTTCGGAGCCAGACTGCTGGTCGGCACCTTCTCCAGCGCCGGAGTCCACTACAAAGGTAGGGAGACCTTCTTTTAGCTCCTTTAAACCAAACGTGCACGTTGAACAACAAACTGCTGCTGGGATGAAACACGTCTTCGGACCAAAGAGTTTCTTCAGTGACAGACGCAGTGACTCGACATGCTGTGAAATGATACAAGATGGATAACTTAAAGAAAACTCTTTGATTCAGGAACATCTGAAGGTTTCTTTGTTCAGTCAGAAGATCTGTCTCCACGTTCCGATAAATGTAGCAAACGTTAAGACAAAGTCTGCTGATCTCATGCTGCTGATCTCATGCTGCTGATCTCTTGCTGCTGATCTATTTCATGTTGCTGCGTTCATTCGACTCATCTGCTCACACAGACTCATGTTCGTGCTGCTGTTGTTCAGCGTATTGTTTTTGTACTACTAGTGCTTAGTGTATTCTTAGTTTAGTGTATCTCTTAGTTCATATCTTTGATCTTATTATTGTTTTTCTTTACAATTTATACTTTTGTTGGATGTAACTGGGACTCTGTGTACACAGTATGTGTACATGTGGTGGAATGACAAATAAAGAAACTTTGACCTTGACCTTGATAAATCTGAGGAGCCTCTGAGGGACCCATGAGGACATGCTCTCTAGGTTTCTGAGTATTTTACACCAAACCCTGTTAGAACTACGACATGCAGAGTTCAGAACATCTAAATCAGGGGTGCCCAGTAAGTAGATGGAGCTCTACCAGTGGATCTCAAAGATATTCTGGGTAGATGACATTAAAAACAGACGTCAGCTGATCATCATCCATGAAATGTGTCTCTTGATTGACAGGCAGGGCAGCCAGTCTGAGGCCCCGTTTACACGACGTGAAACGTCCATTTACAGAAAACACCCTCATCCTCTGAGACTGAAGGTTTCTGAGTCCAGGTCTCAGTGGAGATGTTCAGAGAACCCTCCACGGAGGAGTGAGATGCTCCAAGTTGCACATGCACACTCCAGGGGGCTGCAGTCTGAAGTTTCTCTGCTCTAACAACAGTTATATTTATTATAACTGTTATATTTATTATAACTGTTGTTAAATTTATTATAACTGTTGTTATATTTATTATAACTGTTATATTTATTATAACTGTTATAATAAATATAACAACAGTTATAATAAACATAACAACAGTTATAATAAACATAACAACAGTTATAATAAATTTAACAACAGTTATAATAAACATAACAACAGTTATAATAAATATAACAACAGTTATAATAAACATAACAATAGATATAATAAACATAAC